GTTTAATGATCAGCAGGTCAGATCCCACACGTCCTGCTGTTGCACTGTGTTTTGCTTTCTTTGCAGAAGGGCTGCCTGAGGAAGCAGTGCCTGTCCAACCCAAACGTCTGCTGCTTCTATGCAGAGATCTTGCCTGAAGAAAGGGTAGATTTGGAGTAAAGATAAAACAACACAAACAACCAAAGCAGAAACAAACAAACAAAAACCACACAATCCCAACCTGCAAACCCACATCAATGTAACTCACTGCTACGGAACCAACCACAGAATGAAATTCTTCTGATTGTACTTTTTTTTGCTTTATAAATCAATTTAGAAGTCAGGAGAGACTTCAATTTCTCCCCAAAGCCATGAAGACTGACAGCTCTATGTGCAGACCTGATTAACAAACACACTGCAAACTCATCACCATTCTGCCAAACACGAGACATGAGAAATGATTAATTTTCTCCTTGTTTCTAGTTTACAAAAACAGCAACTGACATTCTAGGGGAAAGCACAGGCAAGTAACGTGCTCTCTTTAGATCAATATAATGTGACAGTTGACAATATGATCAACTAATCTGATTGCATACAGCCTATAAAAAGGTAGGCGTAAAGAATACTCACTGAGAGGTCTAGCACTCTATCAAATTATGTCAGAAATATCACAAAGATGTGTCATGCCATGAAGGTCATAGAATTATAGACCCACAGAATGGCCTGTGTTGAAAAGGACCACAATGGACCAAATCATCTGGTTCCACCCCCCTGCTGTGTCCAGGTCACCAACCAGCAGACCAGGCTGTCCAGAGCCACATCCAGCCTGGCCTTGAATGCCTGCAGGGATGGGGCATCCACAGCCTCCTTGGGCAACCTGTCCTTCATTGACCTTTAATACAGAGCATGGTGAGCTAAACAAAATTTGAATTTACAAACTCAGCTCATATTTACATTCAAAGCCAAACCCATTCTTGGGTAACCAGTAATAGGAGAGAGATAGAACAAGAGCTGATGGCCTCAAGTTGCACCAGGGGAGGTTCAGGTTGGGTATTAGGAACAGTTTCTTCTTAGAAAGAGAGCTCAGGCACTGTCACGGGCTGCCCAGGGAGTGGTGGGGTTCTGTCCCTGGAGGCGTTTAAGGAAAGGCAGATGTAGCATTTAGGGACGTGGTTAACGGGCAATTCTGGTGGCAGGTGGGTGATTGGACTAGGTGATCTTAGGGGTCCCTTCCAACCTTAATGATTCTATGATTCTACAAACTGAAATGATTCGATATCATAAAGACTGAAGAAAGTTCACAGCAAACATTTCTGTAGTTCCTTTGTTAATCTCAAGTTACTGCTGTGATCACAGAAGGTATTACAGGACTCAGACAACGTTACTTTAATCAATTAAGGCCTTCACAGAAAACTGGCTGATAAACCTGAAACAGAGTCTAGATGTGCATTACTGCATGTTTATATATGTAGCAACACGGCTTCGTATGAACTAATATAAATGCAGAGATATAAACACAGAGACACGTGTACCAACTATTAAAATCCAGAGAGCTCTTTAGAAACAAGTCAAATTAAAAGAGCACTGCTGTGGGAAATACATCTTGCACTCATTTCATACGCATTCTTCTTTTTGCAGCACCAACCCCGGTACAAATTTTTCTCATCCACAACGAAATTTACTGATTGATGCTACTTGGAATTGTAGAATAACATCACTATTTGAGTTGGAAGGGACATTTAAAGGTCATCTCGTCCAACCCCTAATTATTACCAAACACTCTGCATACGTAATACACCATTTAACTGAATTTCAGACATTCTTCTTCCAAATTACACTCCATTAAAAACCATCTCAGTGCTGAAGAGGTGCAATTTCATGTAACATCATGCAATTTCATTCTTAAAGGACCGGATTCTGGAGCAACGTCTGCCACGTCTCCAGGATGGCCAAAGAGATAAGAGCACACAACAGATTTAACTGTGCCATCTTATGGTATTTCTTTTAATTTCCTTAAGCTGTCCAATGGAGAGCAGCTGATAAGCCATTCATGGCGGCTCACACAGCCCTGCATGTAAATGGCTGCTGTGAGAGGGTGAGAAAAAAGGAAAAATTCGCCCCATAAGTTCACTTCATGCTTAATGTGCATGCCTAATTAGTGAGGTGTATGGCAACCTCTAGTGGTCCTGCTTAGAAACCTCTACACCTACAAAGAAAGCAGCAAACATTCCTGCAGACGAAGCCGTAGAGACGCAGGAAAAATGCTCAGCTGACATAACCAGTCCCACAAACATCAGCACTTTGCAAACAGGATAGAAGCAGTGCAGCACCACATCCTTGGCACTGCCCTGATAAAACACCTCTGTGTAATTCACAACACATCAGTGCTAACAGTGGGCAGAGAGGAAGGATTTCACTGTACAACACGAAGTCGTTGCAATCTATAGGAAAGGACATCCGACCTGAAATGAATGCTGCCCTGCTTCTTGTCATAAAGCATCTCTGACATCTGTTTGTCTTTCCAGCACATGCTGGTGATAAATTCACGCAAATCTGTCCATTCTCATGCCTGCTGGAATGTGAAACAAATTAGCCAACATTATGGAGCTGGATTTTGCTGAGCTCCAATGCATGCAGCACTGAATATTCTCCCCCACTTCCTTCACAGAAGTTGTCTTCAGAATTTAAAGCAATTGCAACTTCTGCTCAGAACAGGATTAGGATGGAGATGGAATTACTTCTCACATGAAGAACGGAACTACTAGAGCAGCTAGTGAGGCTCCAATGATGACTGCCCATTCAATTATATTGCTAAACAGACTTTAAGTTAAGTGTTATATCCTAAAATACGTATATTCCTAATTACCTGATACTCTTTATAGGCTTTTCCTTCGCAGAAAGACTTTTTTAATCCAGGATGCTGTGGTTTATTCTCTCAGAGATGTTTGCACTCTGATGATAGAACCAGAACAACAATCTGAAGTATGTTCTGTTTTGGGATCATGGAGCAGGTTAGGTCTTTTGGTGCTGGCTACATTTAATAATAGTGACTCAGTACCGAATAAGAGAGGACTTAATGATCTCCAGAGGTCCCTTACAATCCCTACAGTTCTGTGATTCTGCAAGGTAGGAAAAGGAAGAATATATGCCTCAAAACAGTCATTTTTAATGAAATGTATGCATCGATAAATATTTATTCCTATTGCTTTTAATGCATTTTTATAGAAGTGTCTTTTGATTTATAAGCAATCCATCACAATTATTGTGACAAATAAGATCACGATCTTGGTGGCCACTTTTTGCCTGTTTGCCAGACATGCAGCTTTCTAACTGTAGGACAAGATTCTGAGTGAACTATACTCAAAAATTGAGGGAAAAAGAATCAAATGCAGTCCTTAACCCTCCTCTTCTTATTCTCGTTCTGTTTCAAATTTCATCTCCTTCATTCCAAATTTCTACTGCACGGTAATATGGAGCATCCAGCTACAGAAGGGCAGAAGTTTAAAAACAATTGTGTGGCGTATCTTTGAACTATGTAATAAAGTTATGCTGTACATGATGCATACCATATTGCCTTTCCAGTGTCCTTCTTCGATTGATGAGAACGTCCACTTTCTGTACCCATCCTTACCCCACTCCAACATTATTTCCAGAACAATACAGCCAACCCTGCTGGCAGCCAGAACTCGTCGTGTGTTAGACAACAACACCAGAACCATATCTTCCATACAAATTTTAGTACAATTCCTTCACAAGCAGCCATATTTCAACATGTTTAGACAGATGATAAATAAGGCACATCAACTTCATGGCAGGTTGTTGAAATGTTGCATATGAGGAGTGCAAGAGAACTTCATCAGGTTCCACATCCTTCCTGGGGTCGTGGACAGGTGTCAAACATCAAGGTCAGTGTGCCCCAAAGATGTATGGAGAAGTGGTGCAAAGTGCATGGTAGAAGCTATGATTTCAGAGTTTGCAAGTGCTTGGAAAGCTCAAACTCCACCCTTCCGATTTGAGAAATGAGGAGTGCAGGTGTGCAAGACAATGTTTGAGATGTGTAGCAGGAAAATAGCTCAAGTCTGAACACTCACTGTCCCGGGATTTTAGAAGGATGTGTGTGTTAAACACGGAAAAGACGATGGAAGCGTTCACACTGATGAGTAGTTGATATTTTCACAAACAAGCATTTCATGAAGAGAAGGGACTAGGAGTGAATTAAATCCAAACTAGAGAGGTTTAAGAATGAGGTATGTTTTCTGTTAACCAAGTCCTTTACAAAGCGTACAGGCACGCAGTTATCATTTACTTATTTCTGGCACACTGTCTGCACTGACAAGCACTAAAGAAGTTTATTCCAGATTGTATTCATAAGGACCTTCCCAATTTCCCCCGGAGCACGGAGCAGGGCTGGCTGCCAGAATGAGCAGGATGCCCCATGTGTGATACCTCCCTTCACAAAGGGTCTGGAGCACAGCAAAAACGGGAAGAACCAACTCCAGTACCTCCTTCCTAAGCTATGGCCATGCTCTAGAACCAGAGCACGTGAAAAGTATCATGTAGGGTTTACTGTCCGTACTTCCAGCACATTCTGTCTGACTTAAGAAATCAGTCTTTTGTCAAATGTGCAGGAAGAAGTAGAGCACATTGAAAATCCAGTTTGCAAAGTACTTGACTGCCAGCAGAGTGCATTCCTATAATGTGATGCATGAGTACAAGAAGCACAACTTACAGAAATTTGTGAAAACCTTCAAGCTTTAAGGCTGCTACTGAGCTTTGTGTTATGAGAAACAAAAGCAGGAGTTATTCAGGTAGAGATACTCACATTTCTGTGCATTCAGAACAGACCCAAATGTAAAGAAAACAAAATTAATCGTGCTACTCTTCAGTTACTCAGTTATCATTTCAGCTGTTAAGTTCACCAGCTTTATGGCATAGAAAACTCAAGTCCCTCTGCCCCTGAGATTCAGCAAGGTGTAAGGAGGAGTTTAAGAAGAAGTCCACTTCAGAAGTTTCATATTTACCTGATGATTCTCTGCGCAGCATACTGGTGCAGTGAGCGGAACTGTGCTGACATATTGGCTAGGGCTGCCAGGCAGTTATTGTGCAGGTATTTGTCCTGTCAGAAAGAAGGGAGAAAAACCAACACATCAAACTGTCCTTTTTATACATAGTGACATCTGTTGCAGGAAACCACTCAGAGGACTGATACCCATTGTTTCAAAGGCCATGGTCAAAAGCTCACAGGAGAATGACAAAGTTCATACATGCAGTGATTTTTTAAATATTTCTCTTCTGATAGAAGGCTTATAAGAGTGATTTGACACAGATTTCAGGGTGTACTTATGTATCTTACATGTATACCTTCATATCCTTAGCAAATTCTTTTACAAAACATCACAGGAGTAATAAATACAGAAATAAATTCTTCTCTTCCTTTATCTCTCTCCATTTTCTAGTCTTACCTTAACATTTCCTGCTTTGTAACTCATTTCTCTACTAACTCTCTCTAAACATTCCATATATCCTACTATACTACTACTATTACTAAATATTATTATGTGATACTATTACTATATGATATTACTACTACAACTATTACTCCATGATACTTAACATTTCTGCTCCCCTTTTAGAATGCCAGAAGCCATTTGTTCAGAGGAGCACTTAAGTGATGGCACTACCAAAGCCAAGGGTTTTCACAAAGCCCAACGTCAGAGCCCTCAGTAAGATGGGAACCGTCACTACCAATGGAGTCTGGCTGCAGGCAAGTAAAAACTGACTGGGCCATTGCTTAAAAGAGAAAAAAAAAATCTTGAATCCACATATGACTTGCTGTGGTACTATTAATAACATAATATTATTCAGTATATTCAAATTTGGCAAGAATTCATACATTGTTTTGAGCCACCAGCATGACCAGCCCCTACACATCAGTGTTTAATTACACCTACGAGGGATTTATTTTCCCTACTCTGATCTAAAATATACACGTACTCTTGAGTGTAACAGACTCCAGGTCAATCAAAACGCCCTACAGTGGCTGTTCTACATAAGAATACTGACTACATATAGAACTGAGCTGCCCACTTCTGAGTAATAACAGAGTAGAAGCAAAGAAACTGTAAGCAATTGTTTTTCCCCATTAGACAATGGAATTTTTTCTTCTTATCTGATAAACAGTCCTGTACCTAAATTATGGAAATCAGAGAGTCCTACTCAATGAATTGGATGATAATACAGAAACTGTCCTACAAGTTCAGAGCCATCTAACACTGTGCTTAGCTTATACGGCTGTTCTTCCCATTTCCTTCCATCCTACAACTTCCAGTGCCAACTCACTGCAACAGAAAGAAATCCCACACCCTGTTTGAGGCTGAAATCCTGCTGCTTAACTTAGAAGCCCTCACTGTGTACACAAGCACTCGATGTAACTCTTACCCGTGTCCGTGTCATGTTGTACTGGATGGTTCTTATCACAACGAGTATCAGGAGACTCCCAAGTGAGATCTCTGTTAGGACACGCTCAGCGTACCACGTGATGTTTTTCAATATCTGGAAAGAGGAAAAAGGTTGTTCAGCATCTAGGTCTGAATAAGAACACAGAAAGGTCTCCAGACTCCCTTTTCCCTTAACCTAGCTGATGGCCTTGTTCAATTTCATTAACTGCTGTTGGCAAAATGTTACACGAAAACATTTCTGACTGTATCTCTTCCTTCCATCTCTTGGATAATTGGAAAGAATGTTGATCTTCATCCTGCGTCATTTGGCTTGTACAATTCCCTCTTCCTCCCACTGATCAGTAAGCTCAGAAAGGCCTCTATTTTGTATAGAGAGACTGGAGACGTAGCAACAAACTAAACAAGCATTCAGAAATACTTTCAGAATCTAAAGCCTCCTCCAGCTACCTAAAAAATCTCAGTAAGTTAATCTACATGGGATACTGAAGAAATTCACAATACCAAATTCTGCAAAGTCTGAAGCAGAATATCTGTGGCAAAATCTGGGCATCTCCCACTGTATCAGCCCTTGGTTGGGTGATGCACAACCCTTCCGCTACAACTGAACATTGCCAGAGAAATAATCAAGAGAAATACTTTATAAACATTAATTGTATGTCAGGCTTGATGCAATCATTTGGTTGCAAATCACCGAACGAGCACAGAACTCACTTCCAAAAAGGTCACTCCAAATTGTTCATTTCCATGGTAGCATGGAAATTGTCATTTGAAATTCTCTAAGTAACATATATTGAAGGAGAATGGACACTGCTGAGTGCCTTTACAGACCACAGCCCTCCACATGGTTATTTTCTCCTGCTGCTTCTGAAAGCCTTGAAGACATTCCATTATAAGAATTTCAGTGTCAAACAGTATTTGCTGAAGACGTGTGGTTTAGAAGGAAATCATGAGGCCACATGAGGTACCTAATGGAGAGCTCCATAATTCAGAGCACATTACCAGCCCACGCCCTGCAAAAGCTGGCTGTGGAATTACTCACTGTGCACTGTTCATTTCTGCCTCTCATCCTCCTCATTTTGTGTTCGCCCCCACTGATGACAGATACGACACAAATGCAGAGAGGGCAGTGTGTCCTTGTTGATACTGACAGAGTTTGTCCCTGTTCCTGTGAATATTTTTCCTATTAACAGCCAGTGCACCCAAAAAACTTGTACCAACAGCAGTAAGTGAAGCATATAAGTCTTCTTTCCTTTCTCCACCTTTGAGAAGGAAACAGGAGACTCAGAGCTGTTCCATTAACCCAGCTTCTCCAATTCAACCCAAAGACTGGATCTGCTCAAACAATACTGAATTACTTTTATATTCAGCTGGTGTATTTGCAAAGGGATGTATTTCAACAAGGAACAAACCAATGCAAAGGTTTGTTTACAGAGGATTCAAAGAGACGGCATGCTGGAGCCTACAAACAGGAGATATCCTTCCCTGTGACACCCAAATCATCAGTTATTAACACTGGCTGTTGTTTCCCTGCAGTATTACACATACTGAACACATTTAAATACTGATTTGGTTTGTTTTAAAACTACTATGAAAGTTATGAATCATAGAACTGCACAAGAACTGGAAAGAAATGAGTTATCCCATATTATTGACAAAAACAGATTGGTCTCTGCAGTGAAAACCTTTCTTTACTCCTGGTATAAATGAGTCGAGCAGCCCACCTTCCAGCAGGCAAGCTATCCCAGAGCTGATACCTCTCAGTACTTGAAGTTATTTGCCCTGGTTTTCAGTTCACCTTCCTTACCACTTGCATCCCACCACCATTTTCTGATACACAACCAACAGAAGATTTACATTCGCTAGTTCTTCCATTTATTCTCATTTTGGGTCAACATGCAACAAAACTTTGCATTTTCATTCCTTTTAAATTTTGCAGATTGCTTTTACAAAAGCATGGTACTTTTGTAGTCACAATATGACCTGCCATGACTACCCCTATGTCTCTATAGAGATCCAAATTATAGCAACTTCTGAACAATCACCAACATTCTGGGTAGATTTGCAATCTGCAAGCATCTCCCTCTACACTAATGAACAAGCCCTTTAATAAGCAACAAAAGCAGAACTGAAGCTTAATGCAGCGCGCTTAACAACCTCTAAGGACACTTTGCTCTTCATTTACTTAATCCCCTTGTAACCAACATTTAACAGGGATTCTCCCTACATTACAACATTATTCTAAAACAACGTCAGAATCATAACCCACTTTCTTATGAGAAGCTAAGGGACTAATGAAGGCTGCACGTCAAAATATTTCAGTTAATGTACTTGTGTCCAAACAGACAGGTAAAAATCCAGTGACTAATCTAATAGCTGCTAGACTTGCTGCATTAAAAATAAAACCAGCAAATCCTAATTTTTGTGTACATGGTTACTAATCATCTTCTGCTACAGAAAAACAAGTTCAGTGTGCACAGCTGAGATTTACATAGTGCAATTATTCTTTTTTAGATATTGATTTTGTACAGAGGAACATCAGTAGTCTACATGGGAGTCTTGTAGAATATTAACATCACATTTTTCATTGCACATTGAGTAAGGTGTATTTCTTTAAAGAGAAAATTAAAGGTTCAATTTAAAAATGAACACTTAAGCAAGGAAGCTCTTGTTCTCCCTTTCTAATCAATTTATTGATCTTGGTTCCTTTTCCACCAATGTGCCTTGGTTCTGAGTGGTTCAGTGGGCACGGAGGGCATGGCTTGGGGTTGGACTCTATGATCCTGGAGATCTTTTCCAATCTTTATGATTTCATGATTCTATGAATTCTCACCTGGCTTTGTATGGCAAGACTAGGATCTCTCTAACACAATCAGCCAGCAGAATGCTACTCAGCAATGCTGAGTTTCAGCGAAGACGTTTCATATTTCAAGCAGGATGTATTTGACAGCATGCATCTTGCACAATTTATTTTCTAGTCAGCAGCCTTAATTCTTGCACATAAACGAGCGCATGCCTTCCATCAAGTCCCATAAACTGAAATGTGATTTATACTGCAGTCTGTGACATTGATAGATCATTTGTGCTATGCTCTTACTGAGGATCCAAAAGGCACTCAAACACCATAGGAATAAAAGTTCTCAGTATTGAGAACTGAGAGTTTAGAGTACAATTGTTCTGTGTCACACTCTGAAATACAAACTCAAAACTACATACTCTGTGTATAATTCTACTTTTTATACACCCTTGGATCCCAAAGAAGTATGTCATAGGTTTTCTTTGCCCCAAGGGATACCTTTCATTATGGGTTGGATCCCACTGACTGTAGTACTAAATATCCAAGACATAATTACACGCATGCTTTACCAAAACCCTTAGTCAGTAGGTTTGAAAACAAAACCTGAGAAGAAAAAAGGAAAAGAATCCTATAGGCCTAATTCTAGACACGGATACTGATTTCATAAAACAAAAGCAACTGGTTCCAGAAGCATGAAATATGAAAAGTATTTCAAATTTCAATATCATCCGCATGAAAACAACGCCACACTTGAAAGAAACTCTCTGGTTTTCAAGACAGAAAACACAGAGGTTCTGATTAGAACACTGCACAAAGACACAGACCAAATGAAGAGGAACTCAGCTCTCCGTATCCTCAGCACTGAGTTTCTTGTTTTCCCACTGACTGGCTTGAGAAACGTTCCTTAGCAGAATAAAGACAACAAACACAGCGAAGTTGTGCTTCACAGCCTGCCGCTGACAGCTACAGAACAAAGCACTGCGGCAGCGCTACAGGTTGCTGCCCTTTCAAGTGTTACACAAAGCTACCGCGACGCCTGGTCTTTTTCTTATCTACCATGGCATGAGTCAGGACAGAGAAATCAGCGATGCACATCCGTGTGGGGAGCTGCTGCCTTTACCCCTGACTCAGTCGCTATTAATGAAAGACATGGAGCTCTCCGTGGTTCCAGGGGCCCGAATTCATGACGCCACAGCGGGACGGATGGTTTGGATCATGGTTTCCAGCCGTTAAGACCGCAATCAATTTAAAGAGAAATGCCTCAACAGTCGAAAAGAATTTCTGTGGTTTCCTGAGCTCTTTACTAGTTTGGGTAATCGCAAGATTTATAAAATCGGGCTTACTAAAATTAATCTTAGAAATCAATGAATAAATGTGGGCGAAAGGAAAATAGCGTATAAAGGTTTTCCTAAGAACATTACATAGGATACGTAGCAGAGAGAAAACCAGGTCGACCTAAACTGCATCAATTTCTTCTCTCTTAATTCCTCAGCCAAGCGATTAAAAAAAAATCCTGCTGTAGTTGTTAACATTTGAGCAATCTTTGCAGTAAGAGTTCATTCCACTTGTGTAACTGATGTTCACATCTGACAACCGTGCATGCAGCTTCCCAGTTCTACTCATAATATTTTCTCCTTCATAATATCCCCTTAGACTTTAGGAGATGTGGACTCAATTTTTAGGAAAGCAGGAGACTAAATACTTCCATGTACTTTTAGAACACTAGTTCAGTCACTAACTCCTGGAAACAAGGATTTAAACCATTTCAAAGGATGGGAAAGGGGAACTGATGCATGAGGATGATTTTGTATCCTTTTCCTGCAGGCAAAGGAAGATGCTAACTACCAATCCTTCCACCAATATATCTGTTCACCAAGAAGGTAACTTTTTCAAAGTTTGACAAAATGTGCTTTTTTTCCTATCAATTATCAATCATTAGAATTGCAGTCATCAATTCTAATTTACATCACAGCTGATCTGGGGGGGTGACCAGCTCTTTTTCCTAAGCATGGGGCAAGGAAAAAGCCTTCAAAATCACTAAGGCAAGCACTGCAGTGGTGGAACAGCACTCTGATTTGCCTTGAAGTGATCTTTAGGGTTCTTTCAATCTAAGCCATTTTATTCCATGATTCTATAACGTCTGCTCTCTGCTTTGACGTGAAACACATCCAGTCAATCACAACAAAGTGATACAAGGTGAGAAAATCAATATTAAGAAATAGAGGAGAACCAGTGGAAGAATTCATGTTAATCCACATCTGACCTCAGCCGTGTCATAGTGCTCCATTGGCTTTTTATGCCCAAAGTTTCACACCTTATTCTGAAGCAGGGTGACACAGAAGCTCACACAGACACAAATGCAGCTCACAGACACCTTCACCAATCTGCAGAATGAGCAAACTCCTTGGCATTACAGCTGAAAGGATGCCACTGAGCTGGCATAGACAGGGAATTGTAGAGAAAAAAAGGCATAGAATAAGAGAGAAGCAAAACAGATTAAACGGACAAGAAAATAAAAAAAGGCAAAGGCAGGGCTGAGCAAATCAGTGCAGGGTAAAAGGAACCAGATATTTTTGTAACTGAAATGGAAGTAGTAAAATAACATCCACATTACACTACGAATACATTGGCAGGGTTAGTGGTGATGGCAAGCATAAGCTGGACAAGGACACTTGATTTAAGTTCTCATTCCACAGCTGGATCCTCATTAACAGCATTAGGGAAATCTTCCACTTTATTTATCCAGCAAGGAATTTTTGACAGACTGCATGTAAACCAACTGAAACAAATGAAGGACAATGAGGAAACAGCCTGAGTCAGGGGTGGAATCGTCTGCTGCACCCTAAACCCTCACCAAGCTCCATTTATGACATACAGAGCTATATAAAATTCTGACATTTCAGAACATATATATTATTAACATCTGACCATTGGCAATAAGACAAAACACCAGTTACCTCCCAGTCAGGCTGGAAATTTACTTGAGAGCAGTTGCTTCTAGCTTTTTGCATTTCATTGATTTTACATAACCCCAAAAGAGAGTTTCTATGTCCCAGTCAAAAAATAAAATATAATCAGTGCAGACATCTGTATTATCACAGTGTTAGAAGCTGGGAACCAGAATATTATTATCCAAGGTCTTCTCCAGCACAGATGGTCAAGGCCCATCACAGAGAGTCAACATTTGGATGATATTATATGGACAATGTAGAATAGATATTAATCTAGCAGGAAGACAGAAAAGAAATGCCAAGTAAGGAAGCAACAGTTTGGAAAATAAATCTCCAACTAAGACCCTCCCTCAGCCACATCAAACTGGTTAAGCAAAGTTTTGAAGAGAAATAAAAAAGCTTTTCGGTTTCTCTCTCCCTTTTATAGCCCCTCTAGTCCCTCAATCTGCAGTCACTGCAAGCTTAAAATTATAAATAAAGATTGGAAGGATTTTTAAGTCTCAAGAGTTATTTACCAAAGCAGCAACTCACCACTTCATGAATGGAACGGTTGAAGCCATCATCCTCTGTGAGGATCAACAAAATGATGAGAGCCATGTAGACATGGTGTGAATTCCTTTCTTCAACATGATACAGAATCTCGAGAATTGGCAGAACCTTTAGGGAAGGAGGAATGTGCACATTAGATGAGTCTTTCAAACAGCTGACAATAAAAAGAGGAGACTCCAAATCTCCCCACTATCAGCCCATCCTGAACAATATCACAGTGATTTCTCCCTCTCCAAATAACCACTCCTAAGCAGTGACGTACAGCATTCAAACACCTTCTGTCTGTCTTTACTCTGTCTACACAAGTAAGTCCATACAAAATTTTTCCTGTGGTGAGACATGGCATTCCAATTCCTAATAAATTACATTTCCAGCCATAGTAGTTATCGTAGGCTCTGAAAGCTTGAGTTCCCCTCTGGACTATGGGAAAATAAGCAAGATTTTCAGCAATGCAAACAGGAAAACAGTCGTTTCTAACCATTTCTGCTCACATAGCCTGGTCTGAAATAACTTTCCTCAACACAGCCAGGCATATTGGAGCTGAGGTGACCTGAAATTCAGATCCCATTTTGGCGTGTGGAGTTAATCCAGACAAGAACCAGTTTGGGTTGGGTTACGACTAGCAAAGGCCTGTTTTTCCCATTTTAGAAAGCGTGCAGCCAATGAGAACTGACGTTCTGCTGAGAGTTCAGCCCAAGGTCTTGCAACATTTCCACCACGATGAACGGCTTCAGCCAAAGTCTCGCAGTAATAATGAAAACGAATTGCAACTGCAAGCATACCTGAATGCTAGGCTAAAGCTAATCCAGATGCAAACACTGTCGTCCTACCAACTGGAAATTAGCTTTCCACTAGCTCAGTATGTGGCTTCCCCACACTGCAAAAATACCCTGGAAAAAGGAACTGGAGACAACTCCCAATTCCAGGATACTGAACGAGATGCAAAATGGTGTCCAAGAAGATTCTAGACACCTACAGACTTCTGTTCTTCAAAACAAGTCTAGCGAAGCAGGACAAATCATGTGAAACCTATTCTGGTGCGAGGCCAGAGTGCTGAGAGCTGCATAAGCCTCTGAAGTTACCAGAATGTTCTGTTCAGTCAACAAGTCCCAAAACAGTCGGAACATATTAAACACACAACACAGTTTCTATCAAAACCTATGAGGTTTAGCTAAGTACTGCAGGCCACAAAAACTTCTCACAGATGCTTTAGTCAGGGGCAAGGCAATACAGCAGCAAAAGTAGAGAAAAAATATTTACATCACAAACTTCCTTCTTTTACATATCCAAAGGATTCTTCTTCTCCAGTTAAAACTAGTGGCAATCTTTCTGTGTTTTAAGAGTATCAGTCTTGAGAACAAAGACTGTGTTTTCCTAGAATATGTGTTTGGTGTGTTGCAAAACCACTTTTCTTTGGATGGAAGAGAATCTTAGAATCATGAAGGTTGGAGAAGACCTCCATGATCCCCCAGCCCAACCCCAACCCACCCCACCATGCCCACTGACCATGTCCCCAAGTGCCACATCTCCATGGTTTTTGAACACCTCCAGGGCCAGGGGGCTCCACCACCTCCCTGCACAGCCTTTACCACTGCATCACCACTCTCGGGAGAAGAAATTGTTCCTAACATCCAACCAGAACCTTCCCTCATGCAACTTGAGGCCATTGCCTCTATTCCCATTGTCTTTACCCAGGAGAAGAGGCCGATGCCACCTCACCACAACCTCCTTTCAGGGAGCTGTAGGGACCCTCCTCTTCTCCAGACTGAACAATCCCACTCCCCTAAGCACTCCCCATAGAACTGTATTCCAGACCCTTCACAGCTGTGTTGGGAAGGGATACAAATGTTGCTCCACCAGTCCACTGCTCAAGCTATTCCCAAATGAAATATTTTAATTTTATGGAGCTTTGCATTGCATAATCTCAATGCCATTTCCAAGCCTAAGAGTTATGATAAGTTGCATATAGGACAAAGCAATACACAAAATACACTGGCACTTTTTCCTTTGTGCACTGATATGCTGAGGTGTACATTCCTTTAGGACAAGTGTTACCGTTCAGAAAACAAGAAGTTTTCAACAAGCTCTAAGCCACATGGTCTGGTCTTTCTGTAGAGCCAAGAGATGGAATCAATGATCCGCACGGATCATCTTCCAGCTCAGGATACTCTATGATTTTATAAGCCATCATTTAAGTAGAAAAGATTTAAGAGAGTTAAGATGCAAGACAAAACTGGAATTTTAGTTTCATTGGAATTCCTCTAGATTTGTAACCGAAACACACTTCTACACTTTTATGCTATAGACATACATTAAATCACGAAGTTTATGTCACACTTAATATCTATCTTCTCATGCACAGGCATGGTGCAGTCAAGCGTTGTGCAGATCCTGTTTAGACATGCTTGGTGCAACACACATCAGCACTTGTGCTTAGCAGAAAACTTCCACAACCCGTTCTTCCAAACAGAAGAGGGCTACGTCCAGGAACATCCATACAAGTAAGTGTCTTGCTTCTTGTTTGTTTGATTTTTTTAGCGAAAAAATGCAGTGGTGCAACTCCTTATTCCAAAGCTTTTGAACATGCAGTCATACCCTGCAATGAATGATTTCTGAATGAAACTGGAAAAAAACGTACCATAACCACTTCTTGTTCTGCAGGCCCTTTAATTCAGAATCATTTAACTGTCATTACTGGATTACTACAACACTCTTCTATGAGGAGCAGCTTTTACCACTAAGATACAGCAGCCATTACAAAGTTCTCCTTTTAATCCCCCAAGCGGGGGCCAGCTAAAAGCAGACATTAGAAGCTGTGCATGCTCCTAGCAACAAGAAAAGGATCAACATTCTCCCATCCACAAACCATGCTGTTCTGCTTTTGAAGACATCAACTAACAGCCCCCTGTTTCAGCAGTGCCACCATTTCCTGGAGAATCTTTCCACATACAATTTAGCAATGCAGGTGCATTTCCAGACACAAACATCTCTAATAGCAAGTATTTTATGGAATTACATGCACTGAGATGGTGTAAGTTTGGAAGACATACAAATGCTCTATTGCATTCTACCAAACAGATTATAAGAGGAGAAAGGTACACTGCGCTATGTACAATATAGCAAGAAAACGGAGGTATTTCCATGTAAATGACAGAGGTAGATTCATATACCAGTCAGGAAACAAGCTGAAACAATCTACTACAGCAGTTAGAAACAGTTGATTCAATTTACAAATTAAACAGATGTTACAGAAGTGCAAAGATATCTTTAAAATCCTCGGAAATGCCAGAAAAAACATCTGTTAGTGATTCTTCCTGGGTGCCAAACCCAGAAAGAATTGTTAAAAAGAGAAGAGAAAAAAGACAACAAATGCTGTGATGCATTGAATGAAGTTCAATGAACAACCCTCACAACCCAAAACCCCTTGAATTTAGATGAGAGTTCAGCTGAACGCAGACCGGATCTCTCATATCACAGACCTATGTGCTTCACCCAGCTAGCCCACTGGTTCATGCCTGATAACACCACAGTCCTCCAATAAGCCATCCACCCTTGGCTCAAGGAGAATGCTGCTTTGTCAGCAACTTTCACCTCCGAATTACTTTGTTTTCCTCCCATCCTTCTAAGCCATGGGATTCACCTTCCAGGCTCTGTCCTTACCGTGCCTCCAAGCAGGCTGAGTCCTCCCTGGCCATCGTTTTCCCTGCAAAGACACTGACACATCCACACACTGCTCAGACAGCTTTCTCACTAACTCAGCACAGTTCACTTTCCGAGTTTCCCACAACAAACCCGCACAGTTCTGCTAGTTTCTGTGTGGGTGTTTGGTTGGGTTTTTTTTTTAAGCAAAAAACTGTTTCTGTGTACTCTCTCCATCTTCCAATAGCCTATGATTATTTCATGGAGCGTGGTAGCACGGCACCAGAATAGCACAGAGCCTTACTGTAGCCATATACGGAAGCAGCCCCACACTCCTGCCCCTTCCTCTCATTCACAAATTTAAATTTTTAACCACAGGGTTGTAACTGGGAGACCATAGTTCTGTCGTCCATTAACTCCTCGCTCCCAATCCTCTTTGTGCCTGGCTCACCACTCATGCTATCAAGCAGCTGAGACTGCTCTTCTTAGCTGCCTGCTGCAGCTCATCCCTACTTACAAGCCTACTGAAAACAAGCAGATTGCAAAAAGGTTTCAGAAGTGTATCAACAATGACCATTAGAAGCACCAGGATGCATTAAGGGTACAAATAAACGGACAGGATAGCTCGAGACAGAGCAATCAGTTTCAAAACAGTGCTTACACCTAACCTTTGTTTCTCTAACAATAAATTGATAAGCTTAGTCGCTGTGAAACCCATCATACCACATACTAACAGCACAGGACACCAAATATAATGCCCTGTTCACAGGATTTATACAAAATGAATGAGGTCACACCTAAACAATGTGCAGCAGACTACACAGGAGCTCAGTTTCAAATCAGCAATCCAGTATCGACCATCCTGCCTGAGTCTACCAACAGCAGTCTCTAACAACTCTGATTTTAGTGTCAGAACTTGGACCGAGCCCAAACCCATTCCATATCTGCCATCAGACAGGCACAGGATCCAATTATCTGGCAGGACTTCAAACACCGTAATGGAAAAGGTTCTCTATTCTGTTACCTATATTCCCCCAGACAGCCATTATCTTATTAGGGGAATGCTTTTTAATAAGTAAGATTTGTTGAAGTGGTTTGTGACAATACTAAGTGCACCAGGGAGCATCACCTAATTTATAACCCACGAGAACTGCACCAGGTGTCTGTTACATCAGCTGTGAACGACAATCCTATTGAAGCAGCTAAGGAGTCACTGAAATTGCACTTCTACAGAGTCTACAAGGTAGACTACTGAGGAGTTTCAGCTTTATGTCAATTGTGTGAGATATCTGGCACATCAAATACGCCCCAGTTCATTCTGTTAACTATTATACACACATGATAAACCTGTGCAAGTTTTGGCCTGAATATCTAAAAAATAAGTTAACAGAACACGATCTGCCAGTGTGAGCAGGCTGCCCAGAGAGGAGTGCAGTGCCCACCCTGAGAGGTACTGAAGGGTGGTGTGGCACAAAGGGCTAGTGATGGGACCTCAGGGCGAGCAGAACAATACTTACAAGGTTCTCTATGTCTGTCCGTGCCAGCACGTATGTCCGTACGTTGCCATTCTGGTGCAGAAGCATGTACAGCAGAAGGGTCGCCTGATCAGACTTCTGTTGCTCACACAAAGCCGTGTACAAGCTGTTAAAATTAATCTGGAAAACGTGGGGATGTGATGATGAGAAAGCGCTGCTGTCTGAAACAGAAAAATATAAAATAATCTTTAGCAAATATATTTGCCATCTGGACAGCTTTCAATTTTTTAAACCCCTGGATGAAATATTTTGTACAGGCACCATAATAAAGAGGTAACCCAAAGCTTCCATGAGTCTTACAGTAGATTGGAATAAACCTTGCAGGGTGCTGGTGAAGCCCCCTTCCATACTCTCTAACAAACCAGACTAGCAGTACCTTATGCATGCTCACCATATGATTTATGGCAGAGATGAAAGTCAGAACACAGCAGCGTTCTGCTCAGAGAACTTTGTCTCCAGAAGCTCCACCAGCTGCAACAAAAACTTCCAACACACATCTCTAACTTCTAGGAATTTCCAGGGGAAATGGAAGAAGCAAGCACGACAGTAAGTGCTCAGCATGCAAAGGCCCAGGTTCTCATCCTTGCTCAGCCTCCCCACCTCCCCAGGTCCGATTATGCCCTGGGTTTTTTTTCACAAAACACCTCTGAGAGTGCAAAGTTTGTTCCACTGCAGCAGAGGTACATTTCTCAACTCCCAAAAACCTCTCCAGAAATTTGTATAGTATCTTCCTGCCCAGCTCTGCACAAAGAACCATTCCAAACAAGCATCCATGGCAGACACATGAAGGGGCATGAGATTGCCTTTGGGAACTGAATTACTTATTTCAGTGTCTTGGCAACTGGAGGCAAGGGCTATTCTTACTGAGCATATCAACAAGCTCACCATATGGAAAAACTGCAGTAATTTTGTGGATACCCTGGGAACAACAGCAGTTCAAATACTCAAGTATCCTACAAGTCTGGACTTAAATATTGCCCTGCTTCTATAAACAAGATGTCCAAACTTGAAGACTTTAACTAAAATTCCTCAGTTCCCACAATAACAGACTACAGATTTCTGACTTGTTCACTGCTTATTAAAAACGCATTAACTTAGGAAAGTTGTGCTGTAGGAAACAGTGTGACAACACCACTACTCCTGCACAGTCACTGGTGGACAGAGCAGGTTTTTAGGATGCATCTCTGTACCTTTAGAGATCAATCACCAACGTCAAACCCACTGCAGTGTGGCTTTTCAACTTCCCCTTGCCTTCCAGTGCATACACTTGGCGAAGTTTTCTACAACATTCTCAACACTGCCAAAAGCCAGTTTTCACATTAAAATCACATCCTATGAATCATTATGACCATAACTAGACTTTTTTTATGCCATTCTCCTTTTTCCAGTCCCACTCAGTGTTCTCAAGAACCAAATATAAGCTCAATCATGTGAATATCACTAGTGGAAACAAGTTTAATGGAAACAATGTCATTCTGTAGACATTCACATCTAAAGAAAAAAGGGGTTTTCATGCTACTTTCGACACAGTATGACACAATTAGCAATGCAATAGCTCATCAAAGCCCTAAGGGACATGATGCCAGCTAACCAGGATTTCTCCAAGCACTATAAATCTTCAGAGAACTCCTGCAGCCTCTTGGATAACCAGTTTACTTGGAAGACAGCTTTATTTATGTCTTCTAAAATTATGAAGCTTTCTTGAATTCATCAAGTCTGAAGGAAAAAGTACCCTCCTTCCTCCATCCCTTCCATGAGTTTCAGCACCAGGGAGCCAACTACTCATCACAACTCCCACAGGAAGGTGTCCTATTACATGGGCTTGCTGGAGAAAAAAACAGGTTTTGGAAAGAGCATCTCCAAAAAGTTGCAGCAACTTAAAAGCTTCATTTTCATCGGTTCATGCTTTGGAGTAAGAACAGATCAGAGAATCAAGGAATCGCAGAACAGTTCGAGTTGGAAGGGCCATCAGGCCCCACTCCCTGCAGTGCACAGGGACACCCACAGCTCCAGCAGTGCTCAGAGCCCATCTGCTGCCCCCAGGAATGGGGCATCATCACCTCTCCGGGCAACCGCCGCCTCCCTGCCCTTCTTGTAAAGAACTCCTTCCTCATTTGCAGTATAAATCTCCTTTTTTTTTAGTCTGAAATCGTTTCATCTTGTCCTATCAGACACAAACCTTGTGTGTTCTTGAATGACATAATTGCCTGCCTGTAGGGGTTCGGGGTGTCCGGAGCATCGGTCAGGTTGGCCAGGACCAGCAGCAGCAGCAGGCTCTGGTTAGCCAGTGGGGAGCACTGCTCCAGCTGCGGTGTTGCCTTACTCCCCACTCCGCCCAAGGTGAAGACTGTCCACAGGCCAGCTGCAGAGAAAAGGCACAAAGGGGAATCCAATTAGACAGCAGAATGCACGCTCTTATTTTAATGAAGAATGCCCCTTTGGAGAGAACAGAATTATCTAACACGCAGCGATGTGGAAAAGGAGAAGAGCAATTCACCTCTGCACAGCATGAAGACACAATTACTAAAAACGAGATTTTCACAAGGAACACGAGAAAATTAAGCCATAGGAAGATAAGAAAAAGCCTGCAGAAAGGAAACGAAGGGTGAACATGAAACAAAGAGCAGACATTGGCTGAAGGATCCCTCCTAATTCTAATGTATTGAGAGAGAACAAGGAGCTCGTACACAGACACTTGAACAAACTGAGGCACAGCAAAGTAACAAAAGCCAATACTGCTTCAGCAACCAGAGTCCAGTAGAAAATATCACTGCTGCTTATTAGATGTGGGTAGACAATGTAACAGCAAATAATAAGCTTCTTGGGGACAAAAACAACCAAAACCATCATCAACAGCAATTTGAACCGATCATCTCACAGCAGCTCTGTTATTTGCTCCCAACTGCAGTAACAATGCATACTAGAATGTTCTCCATTTTCTGTAGATAAGCATTCTCATCTCTAAATGCCTGCTGAGCACTGAATAGCTCTGAATGTACCTTGAAAATTTGAGGCAGATTCTGATCATTACATCAAATGAACAGAGCTTTAGTAAAGTAATTATACACACACAGTATACAGCACAGTCAGAAGAAACTCAGCTTCAAAATCCTTATTTTTAAATTCATGTCAGAGAGTCAAAGTTAGTAATAACATAATTTTTTAATGAAAGAAATGAAAATTAAGGAGGCCTAGTTTTCTGTATCGTTTCTAATTTAGTTCAGTATTCTAATACGACAGTTTTGAATTGCAGAGGACAAAAACTTGCAAGCTACTGGCATGCAAAGCATACACATAGCATTGTCAATTAACAGAGTTCTCAGCCCTACAAAGTTTTGGAAGTCAAACCAGAATTTTCTTCAAACATAATCATACGGTCAGGTTTTGTAATAACCAACATTCCCTCCATCAGCACTGTGGCAATGCAATTAGTGCCACGTCAAAGCAACAAATGACATTCAGCGCTGAGCAGCTTAAGGACTTCTTGCAATAAAAAATGCGATGATTAGAATCTCCATAGCAAAACTTTCATGTTCCTTTAATAATTTGTTATCAGTGTGTTTGCGATCTACTGTTCTCAAATCAGAATACAGTCACTGACCATCAAGCTGGCTTTCCAAGTAAATGGGTTATAGAATCGTTAAGGTTGGAGAAGACCTTTAAGCTCACCAAGTCCAACGCCCACCCAGCCCACCATGCCCAATGAGCATGTGCCACATCTCCACGGGTCTGGAACAGCTCCAGGGATGGGAACTCCACCACTGCCATCACTACACCTTTCCTCAACATTTAAGTAAAGAGAGACGTGGTCCAAGTATTGGTTAGTAACTTGAGTCTTCCATCAGAGAGAATGAGCTAATTACATCCTCGAGGAATTAATTCACACACTGATGCACGACCCAGGTGACCTCATGGAGTTCTGCCTCTTGCTGGCAAGGGCATTCCTCCAGAAAAATCAGTCCCATGCTAGCGGGTCCATAACGTTCACTTCAGCTCCAAGATGTAATGTCAAACTGGGTGCTATGTGCTGGTTGGTGCCCCCAGGGTTAGTAAGGAAAGCAGTGCTTTTGTTCATGACCACTGCATTATTTTGCTAAACAAAGTGTTGGGAAGAGATATGTCACAGCCAATGTTTTCCATTTTATTCTCTATGTTCCCAGTGGCTAAGATAAGCCACAATTCTAAGCATTAAACAACCAGACTGTGAAAAGGGCGGAAGGGTGCAGACTACCCACCACAGCATGATGATCCAACCTGCTTCTGAAGCTCTGCAAACACTAAGAAAGCACCACGCTTCCAAAAACAGCCCTTCTCATGTCAGTTACAGCCCTGATGAAGTTAGCAGTCTTAAAACACTCTTCGATAGTTCTGTAGTTAGGGCACTTTTCATCCATACAATGTGTGTTTGCTGCGAAATATCTATTTTTAATTGCCATTCTCTAACATAACTTTGTTTACTCATTTCCACACGCAATCACACTATCAAATTATTATTATTTTTTTAATCAGTTAAAGCAATATAAACATTTTGCCAATTATCTCCGGACAAAAAAAAAAACAACAACAACAATGGAACTTGGAACATATTGTTTCTTGCTTTAAAACCAGAATGAGCAGATCCATTTTCCCCTCCTGTTCCACACAACTGCACCCCACAACTGTTTCCTTTCTCATACTGTTCTGCATAAGGCACAGCAAGTGCAGCAAACAGTAGTGGTCCATTACTTCAGATGGCACCAAATTTTCACTAAATTACTTGCTAGAGCAACAAGATTGCAATGGTGAGCTCTTCTAAGTCCTAGAATCATCTCCTACCTTCAAAGCTGTCTAATGTCATTTCACATCGTTCAGCCGTAGATATTTCCATCTGTTTCAAACTAAAATAAACAGAAACCTCACTTTAAGAGCAAAGCACATTTCTTTGCAATAGAGAATCTGAAGTCTGCTCTAGGATGGCAAGAAACATTGTTGAGAGCCATGGAAACAACACCAGACTTGTAATTGAGTTTGACAGCCTGCGGAACAACATTAATGGCAAAATGAAGCAATGACACATTCATCTAAAAGGAACTGTCTTTCACCAGACCACTTTTTAATGTAAGCAGAATGAGGCAGAAATCACAGCCTAACACTCTGGTCTCTGGTAGACAAAAGCAAAGAGAAACGGGTGAGTTCATAGCTGTACCTACTCAAACAAGTTCATGAGGAGACTAAAATTTTAGCAGCTTGCTTTTAAAAGTTGAGGTTTTATTTTTTATAATAAGAGCTGCAAAATGCAATTATATTCATTAAACACATCACAATCCCGCAAATGAACTTTATTGCTCTTGGACCTATTTAGTTGAGTGCCACGTTTCATTCACAAAGACTTCTCCACGAGCAGCCCTACAAGCACGGGATTAAGGCAGTATCCCTGGGCCATCCTGAAGAATGAAAAGAAAGAAGGAAGACTTCAAATAGATATGAAGTTTCCAAAGATCTTCTTGAACTCTTTTTGCCATTTTAAGCTTTCCAAAGTTACAACCCGCTCTCTTGTTCTAAAACGGGATGAGCAAGCACAGGAAGACAAAAAAATATTGGGTAGACAAGGCTACAGAAGCTGGTAAAAAAAAATGAAAATGAAAACCAGACAGAAAACCCAACCACAAAAAGCACCATGCAGAACAGAACCGGATGCCCCATCCCTGGAGGTGCTCAAGGCCAGGCTGGGGTTGGATGGGGCTCCGGGCAACCTGCTCTGGTGGGAGGTTGGAACTGGGGACTTCCAACCCAAGCCATTCAGTGGTTCTCACTAACCCCATGTTTTAGTAATTCTCAAATTAAGCTAGCTCCATGCCTTGCTTCTCCATTTATGGAACTGTCGGCATACAGAAAATTAATTGTTCAATGTTACAACATAGGACAGCACTAAATTACTCAGATAATGAAGAACTAAGGCACAAGTGATTTTCTCTACTTCTGCTTGATAGCATCATGTGATTCCTCCACCACAACCAGCAAATCAAGAACTATCCAAAACTATTACCATTAAGACTATTATAATAACAATAATATTTGTATTATGACCAAGAGCAGCTCTGGGAACTTGAGAAGCCTTTTTTTTTCCTTTTTTTTTTTTAGTGCTTACGATGTGTCACATTGCACAAGTCAATCCAATGCTTCTCACGCTGTGGTGAGATGAACGCTTTCTGGTGGCCCACGGAGAGCTGGCAGCTCACGTTGTGCTGGCTCTCCTCCTGGTTTCCAGCTGCTACATTGTGTTAGAAGAAAACTAAAAATACATCAATACTTTTCCTCCAATTACTTTTCCATGTAAGCCATTTCTCAAGTTGCCACGGGGAAGTTATGTAATAACAAATGGGAGAGGAAAAAGCGACCCATTGAATCAGATGGGAGAGGCTGGAGCAGTGAGGCAAATGCTGCTTGAAGATGGAGTTCATATTATGCCCCAAGTCAAAGTCGCGCTGTGTTTTAGGATCACATCTTCAAACAGGTTGGTCTTAACAAGCTTAAAACTGCTAATTGTGAGGAGCACCAAGTATACTAAATAACCACCAGAACCGCAGCTACACTGCTTTTAAAGAAGCCCCACTGCAAGTTTTTGGACTCAGTACAGTAAGGAAGTAACAAAGTTGAAATAAAAGAAATGTGGAACTGTTTTTATGTGGTTAATGAGCTTGCACATGAAGTATTTCATTCCTAAGCAAGATTAAGCTCACTGGAACAAAGACGCTGGCGTGTACACAACCAGCAAGCCCAGACTGAAGAAACCAACCTAGTCACACTACACTTCAAGGGAATGCTGTAAGTTATTCTCCTCCCATCAAATCGTTGTAAGAGAATCAATACGGCTGGCTTCTCAAGGAGACAAGCCTTTCTTGTCCTCAGTGCCAAGAAAAGCAGGAGGCAGTGACTTCTGCAACAGAAATTCTGCTGCTGCCCTACTCCTGACCACCACCCTCCATGCACACAGCCCAGCTCTGTGGTGGTTCGGGATGCATCCCAGTGACACTTGCCATAGAGCCCCCACTTGCTCAGTCTGCCAATAAACTCCCTCTGAAAGCTGCATGGTTACCAAGAAGCACAAACGTGTCCATGGAGCCTGAAGCTGTGATGTCATTAGCACATTTTGGAAGCCGTTTTTCAGGAAATGAATCACGGAAGCAAGACAAATGAGTAGATGGATTGGGTAACTGTGTTCATTCCCTACCGGTGCTCAAGTGTTCCCTCAGTACATTCTGTTATTCTAACCAGCCTAATACTGAGGGCAAGTAATGGAGCTTGAACCACATCCTTTGGGAAGAGTGTTCCATAATCTAATAAGCCTCACTGTTAAATTTTTTTCCCCAGTGCTCCTCCTCA